TTGTTTTCTATCTTTATTTTTCTGATCTTTAGCAATTGCTAAATTATAATGTAACTACCTAGGAACAGAATATATAGTTTTTACATGGAGATGCAGTCAAGAGGAATTCTCTTTTTCATAAGTGTCAGCAACAAGAATATTATTGGACATTTGTTTAATCAAAGATGAAGGAAGCTTTTATTAAATTAAATTATTGCCTCAGTTCCATCTTTTTATTCATTTAAGTCAGTTGGACTCAAAGATGTCTTCAGGACTGAATCCAGGAAAGATTATTAGTTATCTCTAAGATGCAGGGAACACCGGAAAGCAAATTTAATCCCACTCAAAATCCTTGGGAACCTAATAAACAGCAGCGATATTTAACTGACATTTCAAAGCTCAGAGGCAGAATCATTGCATTTGTTGGCCTTTAGTCTCATTCCTTCATCACGCTTTAATGCAAGAAACTGGATGCAGAAAAAACTTGTCAAATATCACAGAGATCAAAAAAGTGAATTAATTTACTGAAAGAAAAATGTTCACATTCAGTGATGGTAGTTCATATTGGGCTGCAGAGTGTAATGGCTGATCCTAAATCTGGTTATCCCAGTTTCAGTCAGACTATTTCCATTGGTAATGTTACACAACTGCTGAGAGACTCCACTGTGAAGACCTAAATAAAAACATACATGCTTCAAAGAATGAATGTTGATATGTCAATGAATGTTGATGAATGTCAAAAAGTTGATATCACTCCAACTAACCCTTCACTTATTTCTATATTCAAAACAACAAGGCACACTCCAGTAGAATCACTGTAGTAGCAGAAATACAGATTCACCTACACCCTCACTCTGTCTCTGGCAGAGGTATTTCACAGAAATTTTCACAATCAATCTAAGTAGAGTAACCTCAATGCCCTACACACACAGAGGAATGACTGGTCCTCATCCAAGTGGATTTATTGATGAGGGGAGAGGACATGAAACAGGAGTGGCACAGCTCTGCCTCAGAGCCCAGATCTGCAGGCACAAAGCTCCTGCTCTGAGGGATTATGTTTCAAAAATGGTGTAGGGAGGTGTGTGTTTATACCTTGAGGACTTCTGTCAGCTACACCAGTGCTGGATTATGGTGAATAAAGAAAGCTGCGAGTCATCGTGCCATTTTCTAATGGGATTATTTCAACACAGGCCACAAAAACTCTCACAACTTGTGGATAAAATACTCACCAACAAACATCAGTTGATTTGAAATGCTGGGAAACAATCTATTTGGACTATTATATCCATATTGTTGATGATATAAGTGTGCGTGGGTTAGAGTAAGCAGATGTGATGACCAGAAAGGAATATTGCTTTAAACAGCATTTGTTTGCAGATTTAATTAAAAGTTTAGACAAAAGAGTATAATTGTATGACATTTGTAAGAGTTGTTGAAGATGACAGGAAATTCACTGAATTTGCTTCTCCTAAACAGCCCAGATCCAGTGACTTTAGAAACACATAATAATCCACATCCCAAATAGCACCTCTTTGTACTTCTTAGTTAAAAATCTTATGCCGGTGGTCGAATATCATCACTACCTACAAAGCATATTTACCTTCAGATGTTATCTGCTGACTAGTCCCTCTTCACAGCTGTAGATAAGCGTTCTGAATATAGAAACAATCACTGTAAGTCACATAACCTTGTTGGTTTTTAACCAGAGCCTAAGAACAGCTGCAGGCACATCACAGGTCTCGCCACTGCACTGCCTCTTTCCTGGCAAGGACTTAGAGCAGCTACTCATGGAAAGAAAATAAAAACCAGGACAAATATAGAATAATCTTCTGCCTACAAAGTTGTTCCCTGCAGATAAGGCCAAGCTGACTAGGATGGTAGGGGAATGAACTGGAAACATCAATGATGCCAACCTTTTTGCAGTCCCACAACAGTACTTGGGGGTAGAGGGGGGGAGAGGTCACATTGGCCCCGGGAGTAGCTTTATGCAACATTTCAATCCCAACTGCCACCTAAAGTCAAGGTTTGACAGAAAAGTAAGTTTTGGATACAAAGTGGAAAAAGGAGTTTTCCATGGGCTTGAAGGACTGAGAGTTCCAATATTAATTGAATGGAGATGCCTGTGAAATATTTTAGACGAAAAGAGAAACTGGGACAGCCATCACATGCCCTCTTAGTCAGATGGAAAAATTTCTACCATAATACATCTATTGTCAGGTCTGTATTATATTAGGTTAAGTTAGGGTAGGAAATTCCCCATCATTTCTCAAATCCAAATAAGGACTGTGCAAAACATTTCACAAGTGAAAACTGTACTACCTGCACAGCCACATTTGCTGCTGAAAACAGAGTAGGAACTTGACCTCTTAAGTTTTGCAAAAGGCAATGTTTAGAAGGTATCTCCACAGTCAACATACTCCCAGATTAAAATCTTGACTCTCCCACCCTAAGGCTCTAAGTCTGGAGGAAAATGGTGGTATCTCTGCAATAATTACTGCCAACAATTTGATTTTCTAAGGGCACTAATTCTGATTTTAGAACCACACGGAAAATTGCCTCTACATCCCTGGTACGAAAACTTTGCCCTAAGTAACGTGCCTCATCATAAATTATCTGGCAAGGATAAATCTTTTAGAAGCCATGAATGGTGTTGCTGGACCAATTCACTAAACCTGCCATAACACACTTGAGAGATAATTGAGATGTCAGGCCTCATCAATATCAACCTGCTTCAAGTAAGGACAAGAGGAGAGGAGAAGACTGATAATAAATGATACCATTATGTGACTCTGGTTAACTTACAGCTTAGAAACAGACACATATCAGCCACCAATCTGGACGTCCTTGAATTTCATGGAAGTCTGGACTTAGAAGCAACCTTAATTCCTTAAAAAGCTTCTTTCCATAGAAATTGATGACAGAGTGGTAGTCTTTGTTTCTATTTTTACCCCCAAAATTTAATGGTTTTTTTCCCTCCATTCTAACTTAACACACAGGAGGTAAAAAAATGAGTTTGGAGAGCACACAGGAAACATCAGTCAACTATTATTTAAAAAAAAAAAAAAAAATCCTTTCTGGACCAGGCAGAGGAAGCAAAGTGTCAGATCTCTCAAGAGCTTCAACCCTCAGAGGAGGTTTCTGCCCATTTTCAGCATTATAAATTTGTTCCCTGTGTCATTCTCAGTTACCAGTTATATATCTACTCCTAATCAATACACGTGCATATGCACTCCACATTACCTTCTCATCAGAGGTCTTGCATTGCAGTTATTGTTCTTTGAAAACTACATTGATCACAATCCCTTTCCCTTCCTCCCTTTCTTTTTTCCCATTTTCCACCCACCTCCCCCACTCCTTGTGATATCCACCTCTCACAAAGTAGCACCTCACTCTCTCCATCTGGTTCTTCAACCATCTGCTCACTCCTTCCTTTCCCTCTTGCTGGATAATTCTACAGTCTCTCTAGTGTAGATACACATTCTCCTCATAGCATCACTAAACCACTTTCCCTTTTCTGTTCAAAAATACTAAGTACAGCAAGCTTGTACTCTAGGGTTTGAAGGAGGGAAGGGCGCAAAACAAATATCCCTGAATTAAATAATCCTCTGCCTTGAAAACCATAAAATCTTTTGTAAGCTTTATGTTTCATACTGCTCCTCTTCATTTAATCCAAAATGCCATGGCCAAACTGATCTTCTTTCCTTGATGGGGTATTCTGGCCATTTCATTCCACTTCATAAATCAGCCTCATCCACCATCTACATCCCACAGGATTTTCAGATTCCCTGTCTTCACATCTACTGCCCCTCTTCTTGCCTGGCACCTGGTGCCATCCCCTGACAATTTTGCTTGGTTTGCTTTGATCTCATCCCACGAGCACTTCTGTGCCTTTCCCTATTCAGGCACTCTCTGCCTGGAATCAGCTGTTGAAGATGATTACTACTCCATTTCCCTCTTGTTCGCCCTCTCTTTTCTACTTTGCCAAAGACTGACATCTTTTCCACACACAAGACTAGAGAACCCTTCAATTCTGCTAGAGAGGAAAAATACTACATTTAAGTGCCATCAAACATCCATTTCCAAAACAGTGCCTTTCTTCTTTCTAAAACACCTGACTTTCTATTATGTGTTTTATTTCCCTGCTTTGCTTCCTTTCACGATCCTTCACCTTGCAGTGCTCACATTATACATTTCCTTATGCCTAATCATTTCCTGCTCATCCCCTTGGTTTATGCCTTTTTTCTTGTGTTCTTCAGTGAACATGGCAGGTTACTACCAGATCTTTTTCTGCCTGAGAACAGTCTACCTCGTTCTGGGGGATAAACAAAAATTACAGCAATTAAAATTCAGGAAGGCAAAATCAGAGAGATGGCATTGACATTTTTTTTCCCCCTCTCTCATCAGCTACTGACATTTGGAAAATTTCAACCAACTCTAATAAACAACAAAGATTTGTCCCAGTTTCCTAAGAAAGCGAAGCTTGTGTGATCACAACCTGTCAAGGAGTTCCATCCTAACCTTTTGTACTCCGTAAGTTGTTATCAAACAAAGAATACGAAAACAGTGAAGACTCAGAGATTATTGGTGCTGAAGCAAAGAGAAACCCAAATTAGCATCTTCAGTAACTGTGGATGCAGCAGCCAGCTGGTCTGACCAGCAGAGTAGCTTGGGACATCCATAAGTAGGTTCCTGGCTTGGGAGCAGCCAAAGCACCTCAGGCAATGCCCAGCACATGGAAAAGGGAGGGAGTTGGAAGCACTGAGGGGAGTCTGGTAAAAGAAATAACTCTGTAAAACCCAATCTTCCTTAATTTCCCTGCTTATAGTGAAAGGATAGGAGGTTTAGTATTTAGTTATTTCACCTAGCACCAAGCCACTGCCTATTTCACCTTTTTAAATCCCCTTCCAGGATCAGATCATCATTAAGAACACAACTGTGATGCACTAATATCTATAGCACAGATGAAGCATTTTTCTTTCTATTTCCCCCCCCGACCAGAAAAGGAACAATATGCTGTCTACCTTTTCTGAATTATACTTGGATTTGCAGTCACCAGCTGGGTTTTTGATCCGACGTCCTTGCTGTACTCACTGGATAGAGGAGGAAGGTTGCACCTGTGCACAGAAAGACAGTCAAGATTTTAAATGGCATTCAGGATTGACAGGCTTCAGAAAATGTAAAAGTGATATATAAATACCAGACCAAGCTACAAATGTTCCCTACTGCAGCAGACCTATAAACACAGTGGGACACTTTTTTGGGACAGATTGTGGGGAAATAGAGAAATAAAACCTTTCACAGAGATGATATCTATGTATCTGCTAAACAAAAACAAAGGTGAGCATTTGGCATTTCTGACAGGATGAATAGGCTGCCGAAGAGGCTGTTATTATCTCTAGAAATTTTTTATCCAGACTCTTTTAATGTTCTGATTTGCACTCAGGTCTGCCTCATCTACCACTATCAGGCTTCAGATTGCTACCACTCTACAGCATTACAAGCTTTAAATGGCAAGCAAAATTGTCATTTTACATATTTCACTACGGGCTACCTTGAGTGAACAGAATTTACTAGGAAAACACAGAGAAAAAAAAAAAATCAAGGGGCTATTTAAATATGTGTGTCTCAGTTCTGCTCACACTCTTGTTCTGGTGGGCAGGGTGATAACGTAATAAAGAAAAAGCAACTGAGCAAATTTGCTATGGAAAACAGAGAGCCAAGACTCCAAAAAACAGAAGCAGAGAGAAACATCCACACAGTGAGCAGTCCTAAATGCTCCGTAGTAAAGACCAAGGAGGAAAATGAAAGTGCAGTACATAAAGATGAAAATACATCCAAAGAGTATCCAAGCCTATGCACTGCTTCAAAAATTACAGGCAGGAGAAAACCACTCAATATACAGAAATTACACTGAAAACTGGTTCTTAAAACATTTTGTATTTCAGATTTGTCCAACTTTTTAAAACAAAGATATGACCAATATTTGTAATGTTTAAAAGGTAAAACCAGGATTCTCAGAGACAAGCAGAATTTGGAATTTTTTTCAGAGAAACACTTTTAGTTGGTTATATTGTTGGGTTTTGGAGTTTGGCTGGGGATTTCCAAAGAGACAGAAAAACAAAAACCAGTTTTGAGCTCTACCATAACGAGATTTGACCTCCAGTTTTGAAGTTCAACCACCAAATCAAGACATCTCCATTTGCACACGTTGGTTTAACTGTTTTTTCTGCAGCAGGCTGGGCAAGTGCAGCACAGAGAGGGAGCAGACGAGGTACAGCAAGACAAAGGGTGTGCTTGTTGGCCAGCTCCTGTCTCTTCCTACCCCACTGAAAGCATGTGCTGAGCAAACACTGACCCTAAAAAAGGGGCTCAAGCAGCCCCTGGTTGCTTTAAGCCCTGCAGACAGTCACCCCCACAGAGGGTGAGACTCCAGCTTTGGAAGAGGGCAGGCAGTGGCTCAGAGAGGAACTGTTCCACATTCATGACTCCTCCTCTCAGTACTAGAAAGAAACGGGGTCATTTGATGCATTTCTTACACCTGTGAAGAGCCACATCATTTTTCTCCCTGTCTTCTGCACTAACCTCTCTGTAGCCCTCCAGTTCTGCGTGCATCCACCAGGCAGTCCATGTCAGTAATGAAACCCTTGAGTACAACAACAACAAGTTGCTTATCTGATTTTTTTTTTTAATCTTAACAGTTCAGAGGCCTCTTTCCAGCACTAGTGAGAGGCAGGAGCTGGGGAAGCAAGCTATGGCTCAGGTTTTACAGCAGTTTCCAGGGGCTACTACAGAAACTGCTGGCTGTTTTATTTATTACAGATTGCTGTTCGCATCCGCCACATTGGGAAAAATCAGTCTTGCCACAAGGAAAGCCCTTGCTTCCACAGCAGTCACTGCCTCTGTGCATTTCCACTGACCTCTGCAGTGCCTGGAGAACGTGCTTGTGACAGCAGAATGAGGCTGCATAAATTCCTGCCTGCACCTCCACGTGTTAGGGCTTTGTGCAATGTCAGTGCCCGGACAGGACACAGAGTGTCCATGCAGCACACTCTGCAATTCCTGCTAATGCCAAATATCCCACATTCCGTAAGAAAAAAAACACACTCATGTTATATCTGCATGTATTTGCATACAAATACCAGCTCTCAAAATTGTATTCTTCATTTCACATCATCAGGAAATAACAAGGAGGACAGTGATGTCCGACCTACGTGGAACACAGATGAATTCAACCACATGCACCAAGAAACATAAATTTTCCAGGAACATTTTCTCCTTTTTGTGACTATATTTGTTAAAATGTGCACAATTACTGAGATCTCAGTTACAAAACAGCTTCTAATTTGGTCTACCACAATTTAAGAGAAGCTAGACAGCTTCAAAAGAAACCAGAAAAGAGGAACCAAAATAAGAGGTTTCAGGAACCGCAACCATTGACAAGAAAGAAAAAAATAAAAGCATATGGGAGGGTTAATTCTCAGACATAAAGAATGATAAAGTTTTAAAAATCGAAAAAGACATAAAATAAAGTAATATAAAAAACAAAGTAAAATAAAATAATATCAAATCTGGCAATAGGTTGCTTCCTGCTCCTGCACTTGGTAGGATGAAAATTAATCAGATCAATACTATTTGGAGAGATTGTAGAAACTCTCTCAGTGGCAGTTTTCATTGGCAAGCCAAACAACTATTTGTGAAGAAACATACAGATAGATGATTTGCCTTAGGGCAGCAAGATGGCTTAGATACCTCTACCAGACTACAGCTTAATGCTCTCTGTTTTAAATAACACTAGCTCATAGGGCAAGCTTTTAAGAAACTGCTTTTGATTAAAGTTTATTTAAAAACACTATGAAGGACTAAGATCTCACTCTGGTTTTTATCATCTCAGCATCAATTTTCATCAATAATGAAAATTCTTTCATAAGGCAGTCCCAGATGCACTGTTTAAACACATCTAATTCCCTTCATCAGTAAATCTCATTCCCACCTTTTTGTGCATTAAATATTAAGAAAAGTCCTGAGTATCCAGAGGAAGCTGTAAGAAATTAGTTAACAGAAACTTCTTGGCCTTTCTAATTATTTTCTTGAATAGGCCAGCAGAGTGCCAAGTGTTGTGCTGGTGAGGAGTACACCAAGAAATAAAAGATTCATCCTAAGAAACTTCTTTTTAATTCTCTTACTGTTACATCTGGTACTGAGGAATGAGTATGTGAACATGCAGGAAAGAAGGAAACATCATCAAAACAGAGACAAAAACATGGCTTAGGGTGAGTACCCAACGTTTCTCTTGTAAAATAACTGTTAGCAGGAGGGGAACCCCAATTTTTTTTTCTTAGAAATAAAAATTACACACTTGAAAAACAGGCAGATATCAGAAGATAACCACACCATGAAACATGTAGACCATATACCATGCACCTTTTTCACTGCAGAAGCAGCATGCTATGCCTTAGGGGCTGAAAACTGCTGCTCTTTTAATCTCTGTGTTGGAAAAACTGTGTTTGAAGAAGATGCTCAGCAATGAGTTTAAACTCATTAAATAACCTTAGTGACTACAACATATGAGAGAAGATGGCAGATACTTATAAGTGAAATCAAAACTCATGTGAATGGAAGAAAAGAACAAGGACAAAACCCGGCATGACATTTCACACTGCAGAAATACTTTGAAGATATTACACAAATTTCTTTTCAAAAAACAGAAAAATGTTATGCAAGTTACCATTGTGCTCTTTCACTCTCAGCTCTGAGATTATAGAAATCAGATTTAGAAAAGATCAACCAAATCCTGTCTTTCACCTGCTGTAAAAATATTTTCTCCCAGTGGTGTATTAGTTTCTAATCCAAAAGAATTGACACACAAATATGACTGCACATCAGTAACACAATACAGCCTGCAGACAGCAACTGGATTTTTGCAGGAAACTCCCTATCACTTATTTGCAATTTGAAACAAGTTTTGCCCAGATAATGGTTGCTTTACCCTCCCTGGGGAGAAAAGTGGATTTTTTTCTCATCAAGTGACAATAACAGCTGCTTTGGGATTTTTTTTTTACATTTCTATTGTTTTTGCAACTGATTGCTCCTACAGCATTTCAATTTCCCATTGCATCTAGATAATATTACCATGGTATACACCCTGCAGTTTCTTATATTTAGTCTATGGAACACCTAAGGAGTTTTGCAGTAATGGCAGCCATTTCTCCCCTGTGCCTTACATCTCCTGCTCTATGTTTCCTTTTGCCTTTGGTTTGTTCTATTTCTTTGCTTTAATACAGAAGGGTTTTTTGGTCTTTGAGATGCAAACTAGAAATTACAGCAATACTGTTTGGTTTGCAGCACATTTGTACGGCTTTACAAATAAGCCATCAGGATCTAACAAGGAGACTTTCTAAAGTGAGTGTTCATTATGCATCCATGCCAAAACCCAAAAAACCCTCCATTTCTCATCTCTTTGGGAGCATTCCTACAGCTTCTCCTTCACAATGTTTCTCTTGTTCATGTTTAACAGGGAGGAACTAATTTCTGTCTTTCTTCTTTAAAGACTGCAGATCTAGAAAGTGTCAAATTCAATCACGAAAGCAGTAGCTGGTTTGACATCCTTCCTGACAGGTTCTTATAACTTCAGGAAGGCTGGACGGGAAGGAAATGTGAGGAATCCCAAAAACTCTGCATCAAGGAAATAGGTTTGGCCTTTCCTCAGACAGTCAGCCAGAGGGAAGAAAAACACGGGAAGATTTCAGCTTGTACCAACTTAGATCTTAAGCCTTGCCTCATAATCGGCACCTACTCATCTTGAGGTCAATGGGTTGCAGAGATGGCATTTAGAGTTTCGGAGGACATTTCTCAGGATGAGGCCCTGCCTACCATTACAAAAATAATGAGAAAAGCAGCTCCTCAGTACCTCCCTGAGACACTGCACCATCTGTCACAACCTTAAGCACTGGTAGACTGCCCCCACACCTCACACACCCATTTGCAGAAGCCAGTCAAAACTCTTTTTTTGCCTCTCCTCACACTTTTACCCAAGTTCCTTGTACAAAGCATCCTGCAAAGGCGAGGGAACAAGGCAAGTTGTAATTGATTAATCGCAACTGAATAGCTCTGAAAACCCAGAGCCTTAGCAGGGGGAAGGAGAGACAATGTGTCATTGAGGAGTCTGTCTTACCGCATGACAAAATCTGCTTGATCTATTTGTTTGCCGCAGCCGCTCTTTTTCAGGATCCCACCGTTTCCCACCACGGAGCATTTCTTCAATGGCAGCTGGAAGGGAGTAGCCTAGCAACACAAAACAAGGACCGGTTTTACAGAGGAGAACACACACATCTTTGTAGCAGCCACTCCTGGAGAACCCGGGGAGCTGGCAGAGCTCTAAGTGAGGAAAGAAAAAGGATAATTAGGAGCTAAGGAATAAAAAAAAAAAAAGAAAAAAAAAAAGGACAGAAATTAGCTGGTAAGTAGATGTAGGACAGGTTTTATCCCCACTCCCCAAACCAGAATGCAACAAATGTGATATAGAAGATAAAAGATACTTCTGCAAAACCAAAACTGCCTGAAGTCCTGATGCAGGTGTTGACCAAGCCAGGCAGTCCATAAGCCTACTAGGCAAGCTGCAAGGACACAGGGGAAATATGACAACCAGAAAAAAATAATAATAGTTAAAAAAAAAAATCCATGCAAGTGACCTTGCTGAGCTGATATACAATAGATACCTCTGGGGAAGAAAAGAAGAAAGGAACAGGGAACAAGGTGATGACAGAAGCACACTGAGAATCTGGAGTCACCCTGGCTCCCTCCATGGTTGTGTCACTGGGACGGGTCAGTCCAAAGCCTTAGGCAAAGATATTTGTAGCTTGACAGCAGCTCCTTAAACTGTCAGCTGCCCAGACATAGAATAAATTAAAATTAGAAAGGGACGGTTTCAGCTAAGAAGCTCTTGCAGTCACTCAGCAGGGGCATAAAATTGCAAGGTCAAATTGTCATGCTGTCCTGTGCATCAAACACAGTAATAAATTAGATCTGCACAGTTTTCATTCCAGAGGATCTCAAAACTATGAGTGGGACATCTTCCTGTAAACCCCAGGTCATTCACCTTTAGTGAGACTGGGACAAGCACTTAAGCAGCACACAGGGCATCAGTGCAGCCCAGCATATTAAGAAGGTGAAGAGAGAGGTGAATTCAAAGTAGTGTGATTTTGATAGGGAATGGGATTTGTCTACGATGCAAGAGTTAATATTCTCCTCATGCAAACAACAGTGCAGGGATTTTTATTTGTCAAACCTGTCGAAAGCTGACTTTGCAGCAGAGACAGAAGGTACTGCACAGGCCTCTGAGAATGCAGATGCCACGGCGACAGGACGCAGCACCGCAGAACTCTCCGGGAGGACAAGGCAGAGTAGCAGCAGCACTTGGCCTCACTTACATGTGCAGAGCAACGTCTGACTTTACATCATGTATTCACCAGGCATTGCAACACAGTATGGGGTCCAGAAAACAGACCCAGTGTTACAGCACAAACTCTGCATTTGTTAGAACTCAGTCCCGATGTTTTATTTCTTTTCTTCCTTAGATTTATTTCCCTTGTCTTCTTTTATCAGCAAATTAAGACTCTGTTCAGCTAGTATAAAGTCACAACCTGCTTTCTAATGAAAAACATTAAAACACATTTGTTATCCTAACTGTGGATTAAGATATGCTAAAGCAGAAAAATAAATTTTAGTTTCCTGAGGCCCAGCCATAGTTAGGAACCCACTGATAGCACAGTGGAGCAGTACTAAGTGTGCAGCTGCACTCTTGTTCTGCATCTGCCTTCTCAAGAACATTTTTTAATTTACAGTTATTGAACTCTGAGCATCTTTTGAGATTCAAAGGACTTGAGATTCATCCCTGATGTGACCCTGACCAAATGAGAGCTCACATACTCAATAAAGTAAGGATGTGGGGGTGGGAATTAAAGGAAATGTAGAAGAGATATATTTTATAAATAATAGTATCTTTCTCATTCAAGATATATCAAAGCTCCTTCCATGACAGGTAGTTACACAAAGGCAAGGCTGTGACAAAGCACAAAGGCAGCAGCCATTAACTCTTGCTTTTAAGAGTAGTGCACACTGTCACATAAATTCTGTGCTTTTAGTACATGTTGAGTGGCTTTAGACCCCCAAAATAAACACTTAGGAGTTACTAAATTCTTTGAGATGCAAAGAACCTTTGATATTGCTTGAGATGACTTGCTGTCCTTCAAGGGAGGTTATGCTCAAAGATGATAATATCAGTTGTCATTTGCATACATGCTTTGGTTTTCAAAAGCATGTGAAGCTTTGAAACTTTTGTCCTTTTGTTATCCTGAACACGGGCTTCCTACACGCTGTGCATGGCCAATTCTCACACTGAGGTGAGGTAATTCTATTTTTTACTCCAGTTTGTGCCAAGCAGGGAGCTGGGGGTAACCCAGAAAACACCCACCATCAAAACTTCACACAATTTATGTTTTACCAAACAAAGGCATCAACATTCATTGGTTACAAATGACATATCCTTTTAATTAATTAGTACTCAAATCTACTCCAATCCTTATTTGCTAACTATATATCTCTTGCTTCTCATGCTAATTAGTCTGCATGCACAGTTCTTCTCTCCATTTTTAGAAGGTAGTCAATGTCAAGGTGGTTGCACTCCCCCACTGCCAGAATTACCTTTTCCCCATTTACTGCTCAGTCATGTTGACTTCAATCCCAGTGGCTCTGTCCAAACAGCCCATTCATTTTGGGATTGTGTTCCCTTTTCCTTAAAACAAAGGATTAACCATGTCTCCGAGTTTCACAGTGCAACTACTTAATTACACCTGTCTAGTTATAGCTACTGATTAACAACAAAATAACTGCCAAGTTCAGATCAAATCTTGAGGGATTAGATAACACTTCAGAGAGTCTAAAAAGCAAAAGAACAAGGTAAAGGCTGAGAAGGTGGTGTGAAGGAGCCAGAGGAAATTGGAAACGGCAGATAAAATCACCATGATGGTTGTCCCTCTGCCTAACTTGTGGAGAAATTTACTTGCTCTCTGGACACAGGAATAAAACCAGGCTGAACACAGTTCACTGTGAAAAGTCACAATGCCCACAGGAGCCCTCAGACACTTTTGCCTCACCCAGCAAAGTACTGAAAATTCAGGACACGGTACACACATCAGACAGAGTCTTCACACCACCATTTAGCTTAAAATGTTCAACAGATCCATTTTGCAGAAGACCATACTTATGAACTTTCCACAGACATAGTCCAGTGACGGGGTGTGGGGGGTTGTAAAGGCCAAAGGATTAAGCAGCCCTGCTGTTTGATGGCATTTCAGTTGCTTTGAGCTTAATGAAGAGCAAGCAATTGCTTAGGATGACGGGGGAGAAACCTGCCATTTGTTATCTTGCACCTGATTTTTCTTCAGACATTTAAATCACAGATCTGTACTATTGCTGAGACTGAAGGATCATTTCAGGAACTCTTTGTCCAAACCAACACAAACTGACTGGTCGCGCAGAAATTATACAAGTCTGAAACTCAAGTGTTGCCCATAAGCAAGTATAAAACATATGGCTCCTTTTTTTTCTCTCTACAAAAGGCATTTCTCCTTTCCTTCTTTCACAGAAAAAGGCTCCAGGGCTTTTAAATTTTTGGGAAATTATCATCCTGTAATCAAATTCGCAGCAGCACAGCCAACCCACTGCAGCACCTCAGTGCTACGGCACACTTCCCTCTCCTCCACATCCAAAGGATGTTCCTGGGACAGATGGCACTTAGAGGTCCTTCAAAGCTAAAATGCTGTGGGCTTCTTTCTGTGACTTCCCATCAGCATTCAGCTCCTTCCTTCCTTTGGGCTGTCCAAAATAGGAGGTGCAAACGGCTTAAGCAAAATTGCAACACAATTAACCAAAAGGTAGTTATAGCTCTTAGACAGAGTAGAATCACTCAGCTTGTGGAAACACATCACCACTGGGTTCTCAAGGTGTTTCCCTGCACCCTCTGGCTGTTTCAACTGCCTGTTTGTCAGGGTGTGAACTGTGGGTTTAAAGTTGGATTTAATACTTAATTAATTATCAAAACCTGGAGTTATTTTTTTCCTGTAAGGGTAAACAACATCAAAGATGGACTCCAGCAACGATTTGTTTCCTCGTGCCAAGGGATCTTACACTGTCTTCATGGTGTAGGTGATCTGTCTTCAGATTTTTTTAATGCTGTTGGAGTCGAAGGGTTATAATAATGATATAACTTGCTCCAGGAATTAAACTGGTTTTACCTTTTTTTTTTTTTTAAATAGGCTTGGACATTGTAATTTCAATAAGAGGCCATTTTCAGTTTTAAGAAGATAATACTATATAGTAAACCCAAGTTGGTTTTTAGGTTTCTATTACCAGCAAACTCTGTTTTACTGGACTCACAAAAACCTTCTCATGCTTTTCTTCTTAACCTCCCACAGCATAACTCTTTGCTAGGCAAATTGTCAGTTCATACTGACAGCGTGAAAGTTCTCACATTGTAAGGACCCAGCTGTCATTTATGCTAAATGTTCAAGGAAACTCAGTTGTTTGTCTCCTTAAAACTGTAATCTGGCCTAATGAATGCTGGCTTTGGACAGTAAAGTTGTTACAAAAGCATTTCTACTTATATTAGCTTCCTGAAACTCTGTTATTTTCATTGTCAACACATTTGTTATTTTCTTCATTCACAGAATTTTCATGAATGACCAGAGTCTTGTGGGTGGACTAATAAAAACAGTGCAGCATTGGTTTATCTAGTGTAATAGAGAAAATGTACAAATAAACGACCAACTCTTTCTAATTTTTGCAAATCACTACCACAGAATTTGCAAATACTCTTAACTAAAAGCATCTTGCATATTGGAAATAAGCAGGGTGAATTCTCTTTAAAAGTAAGTCAAGTTATTTTAAAAGGATTTCATAGGGTGGTTTTTTAAAGGCATCTCCAAACAAAACCAAAGACGGAAAGGCCCCATTGTCTCATTTTCCCTGGTTTAAAACAATGAAATTCCACTGATAATCAAAGGAGATGTTCTATTTCGTATTCATGTAAACAAAAGAACCTGTACATCCCTCTGCAAATTCAATGACAAATAAGCACACAGAGCAATAGAATAAAGATTCCCAATTGAATATGGGACTAATTTAACAAAGCATCTCTCCAGCAATTCACTGATTAGTTTCATCATTCATCTAAGTAGAAATAAATCATTGTCATCTGTTAAAAGAACATTACACAGTACTAACAA